TATCAAATCAGCAACACTGTAAATGAGGGTCACCCTCAATGTTCTCTGAGGTTAAATAAAGGTTGATTCATTTATTTATTATTATTATTATTATTATAATTATTATTAATAGTAGTAGTAGTAGTAGTAGTAGTAGTAGTATATTTACGTTTCTGTAGTTGACTGGCATCAGACAAGTAATTAAACATCATAACAGGAAGGTCTAGATAATATGATATAACCATGTTATTAACATGCACAATATATGGATAAAATATTGATAAAAATCACTAAATACAAAGACGCCAAGCCTCAAAGTAAAATTTCAGACAAAAACTGTTGGTGTTTGCATTTAGAACTGCAATGTATTCGTTCACCAATTTTTAAGGTTGTAGCACCTGCTATAATATCAGCAGGTACAACGGGTTGTGCAGTAAACTGAAGATATTAAGTTATTACAGAGTTACTGCAGAGCTGTTACAGAGTTATTACATTGCTTTGTTTTTTCTCTGTGGAAGAAATCTGACATCTCAAAGTGATAAAGCTTGATGGATCACTATGACAATCACTAAATCTGAGTAAGCCAAGTGCAAAGCCTGAAAGTAAGTATATTTCTGCATGTAAACTATTACTGTTAATGTCCTAAACCTTGACGGCTCGGAGGTGAAGAGGAAAACATCTTACACATAGCTACGGAGCCCCTGAACTCTGACCTGAAGGCGGAGTATTCTCAGACTACTTCCCCCACTCTTCCCCCATCAGCATAAGAAAGACCCCAAAGTCAAAACAGACCCCCCAGAAAAAAAAAGAAGAGGATAAAACAGTAAGTTGTTATTAAGGGCCACATGTTACAATTCTATCCTTCTCAGTCAGAGAAACAGGGAGCTTGCCAAGAACGTTCTTTAGAGAGATGCCATAGAACCTTTCTCTAGGAACTTTTCAATGCATGGCGGTTTTAATAATGAGATCAAGAACGTTTCGAAACTTTGGCGAAACCCTAAAGGTCCCATACCAAAGGCTTTTCTTAAAAACACACATCCAAGACAGGAACGATTTAGGAACCATAAGAGTGTAGATCAATAGACTGATGAACAGGATGGACTTTATGGAGTTCAAAGCCACAGCAAATAACCACCACTCTTCCGCTTGGCTTCCCAAACACCCCTTCTTTGGGCAGTATGTAAGAAAATGCTAACAGATACAGAAAAGAATGTGCTTGTTTATTCATCTGAACATCATCAGGGCAAACCCTCAGACACACGACATATATCAAAAGACAACCTTGTGCTTCACTTTCTAATAGTAGAAACCATCTCCCTTCCAAACCGCAGTATTCACTAGACCAGTATACTGCAGTCATTTGTGCTCATCATGGTCCTCCTGTGCCCAGACCAGAGGCACACACTCGTCTGAGCTTTTGTGTGCTCGTGAGGAAGGGAGGGGTGAAAGAGTTCAGATCCACCCCTCCCCCACCAAAAAACATCAATCTACCCATGTTCACTACTACGTACATCTCAAAACGTGCCCTGAACACGGCTATCGGATGTGAAGAAACAGGGGCCTTTGGGATCCTCATATGAGACACGATTAATCATACAGATAGAAGTTCATAAGAATCATTCAAAAAATCCTGACAAACAAAAGGCTTTTTGATAGGCAGGCAGATCACAGTGCAGATGGTTTGATTAATGACTAATGTTAGGCCGGTACAGTGTGCTTTGCTGGCTAATGATGGGGGAGGTAATGATGGCGTGGAGTTGAGTGTCAGTGAGGTAAGTGGAGACCGGGGAGTCAGGTTTCAGACACATGGCCCATGCTGGAGTATTGTTTAATGTCAGGGCGAGGCGCGCAGCCTCAGCAGCCACAGCAGCCACAGCGACAGCTGTCACGGCCCCTGCTAAGACTCGATAACGGCGCTCCTGAGACGTATCACATCACTCCTGTAATTTGCAGCATGACCTGAGGAGCCACTGTACCTTCCACACCAATATGCTGCAATAAGAGATTCTGTAAATGAGCAAGTGTCAGCTCCAAAATATGCAGTGGTTTAACTTGTCTAATAGTTAGTATATATGCAGGCAGTTATATATATGTATATCGCTGTTGTCGGAAGAAAACCTTGTATCTCCAAAATGAAAACTTTACAGGAAAAGGAAAAAAACCTGCTTTGCTTTTAATGTAAGTCAATGGAACCAGACTTTTCAAAAGTCATTTTGGGCCGTTTCTTTTGGTCCATTCATTATGGAATTTACACACAATGCAAAAAGCAACAGGCATTTTCACATTATGTCAAAAACTGATATATATATATATATATATATATATATATATATATATATATATATATATATATATATATATATATATGGGGTGCTGTTTATTAGGCTACATAACAGCTACATAAGCTTGTCATGACAACTGACATAAATCTACATAGTTTATAAATGCTTATTCCAATGGGCATCAATTCGCTATAAAGATACTTTGCCAATTGTGATCAAAGTTAGCTAAAGTAGCCTTTATGTCAGATGATGCCTACTGGAATAAGCGTTTATACACATTTATGTAGGGTTAAGTCAGTTGTCATGACAAGCTTATGTAGGTGACATGTAGCCACATGAACACTACCCTACAGTAAAGTGTTACCAGTAATATTTTATATATATTTTCCTCCATTGTGGGAGTAATGTGTATATATATATATATATATATATATATATATATATATATATATATATATATAAATATATATATATATATATATATATATAGAGAGAGAGAGAGAGAGAGAGAGAGAAAGAGAGAGAGAGACATTCTATTGAATATTAAACATTTTAGGTATGGAAAATTTTCAGATTTCTTTGGAAAACCGACATTATATATATATATATATATATATATATATATATATATATATATATATATATATATATATATATTATCAACAATTTGGTGTAGTTCCAGTTACTATTATGGTTACTGTACTACATACAAATGTCATCATCTGATGTTCTGGTGTTCGGTCTGATCTCTTATATTTTAAAATTACCCAGGATTATGTAACCTTAAGCTTGGGGTATGTAAACTTATGAGCTTTAAAATGTTTTATGTGTGTAAAACGCCATATTTTAAGCATGTTCTCTGTAGAGGATGATGATGTGTCACAAAACATCTTTTACATATTGACTGAATTTGTAACAACAAAAGATGAACACCTTCAAACTGCGTCTTAAACGTCATAACCACTATCAAAGCTACTATGGATGCAGGTCAACATCAGCTACACATAGCACAAGCAACCAAATGACACACCAAAAAGGGGAACAAAAAAAAAAAGCCACAAAGTTAACAAATTAGGCTGAGATGTCAAAGGTTTTTCTTTATTTGCCAGATGTAGATGACGTGAGATGAGATAAAAAACAAGGCAGCAGCTTTTGTGGCTTTTTAGGCCCCCTTTTATGGTGTGGTGAGTCATTTGGTTACTTGTACAAACACATACAGTCTACAGTTTAGCAATTTAAGTCTGAAAAATCTGTCGCTTTTCTTCTTCCTCACCAGCATTTCAGCATTTCTTTGAACCAAAACGTGTTTATTACACGTAATTACACAGGGTGGAAAATGGCGAGCCATGTAGACACATGTAATTGCTATGTGCACATAAGTGACCTACCTCTACTACAGTCTGAGAGAGAGAGAGAGAGAGGGAGAGAGAGATAGAGAGAGAGGGGGAGAGAGAGAGAGAGAGAGAGAGAGAGAGAGAGAGAGAGAGAGAGAGAGAGAGAGAAAGAGAGAGAGAGAAGTTAGAGCAGATGCTGAATAGACTGCACGTCCTTTAATCTACTTATAAATGCATTAACACTAAACTTCCCGGTTAGGACTTTCATTGTGAAGCAGCGGTGATGCGCGCGCTCCTCACCCTCCATCCATCCCCACACACACACACACACACATACACACACACACACACACACACTCACACGCGCGCGCGCGCGCACTTTTCCGCATCACAACTTTGTGCTGAGCACACAATAGCTCGCAGCGGCGAACGGGAGGAACCATTCCCGCTCCAGGTGTCGCCCTCAGCGCGGATCGTCTCCGCCGTCGCTCGGGACGCGCTCGCTGGAAGTTCAAGCCGGACCCCCCTCGCTTTGCTTCGCTGACCGTTCGTGGACTTTTTTTTTCTTTTTCTTCGGGAGGAGAATGGAAGAGGCTCGGTTTGTCATTTCCATGTAACCCCCCTTCCTCCTCCTCCTCCTCCTCCTCCCCTTCCTCCTCCTCCTCCTCCTCCTCCTCCTCCTCCCCCCACAAACACGGAGTGTCACCTTGCGTTTGTTGTCAGGCTAACGTTACCTCTCTCTCGCGCGCGCGCGCCCTCTCGCCCGGCTTCATTACGTCATTTGCATGCCCTGAGGTAAGTTTGGCGATCAGAATTTGCTCCGCTACTTTATGAAAGATTGCATATCGCTTCATGTATCGCTGCGAGAATCACTCTTGCCTACTTTGAGTGGGTGGTGGTGGTGGTGGTGGTAGTGGTGGGTTGCTGGGGTGGTGGAGGGGGGGGGGTGGTTCTAGCCTCTCTTCGGATGCGAATGGAGCTCTTGTTTGCTGATAATGAGGGAAGAACGGCAGGTAGTGGAGCTAACTTGGCCTCTTTCGGACTGTGTGCTAAACCACAAAGGCTGCGTTGTCGCCTGTGGAGCCTCTCGTCAGTTTCCTGATGCGCTATTTTTAGGAAGTTTTCCTCTCTGCTCTGCTCAGCGCTGCTTGTGCCCTCACTGATTGAGCTCTCTCGCAGATCGGAGGGTCCAAACTTTGAGACCCAGAGCCTCTTGAGTCGCCTCGCTGCACAGCAGACGGTTTGAAGGGGTCTTTAGCGAAGAATATATAGAACCGTGCTGGCTCCTCTGCGAGGTTAAGTGGTTCTCTAACCTGTTGTGTACGGTTCTTGAGGGAACACTTATTCTCTAAAGCACCAGATAGGGTTTTCAGTATCTGTTATCTGGATTCTCTGAGAAAAGGCGAGTTAATTACGCGTTAATTAGTTAATAAACGAGGCTTAATAATAACACCGTCCAGCTTAGTTAAACTTGTTGGGCTTCTGTTGTCTTTGGGCTTTTTTGTGTGTGTGTGTTGGGGGGCTTGTTAGCGAAGAACAGGGTCATAGGAAGTGTCAGCTCAGGTTGTGCAGCCTACATTGTCTTCCCCTCGTTCATTATATCTCGTATAAGCACAGTTGGTGCCTTTGTTTCTCTGCTCTTACGCACAGCCTCACTAGTACAGATCAGGGCCCTTTTGATGACCAGGGCTGATAAATCGAAGGCACTGTCAGGCTACTTTGCAGTCTATTACAATTCCAGGGCGGGGCTTGGCTCCTTACTTTTTTTGTTTTGTTCAGTTCTTTTTTTTTTCCACCCTCTCCTAAAGCCCCCCAATGCCTGTCAGCTCGCATTTACGCTCACCAAAGCACTGAAAGCCCTCCACAGATACGACAACGAGCCAAAGAAGCTGCGAGCGGCTGGAGTTAGGAAGGAAACTCAAGGAATATCTCGCGGATAGCAGGAAATGAGAGAAAGGAGCTTCTTAAAGACTGTAGAACTCTTTATCTGTGGATAGGCTAGGCCACTTATACACCCACGGTAAGACAGGCTGCAGTGAAACTCAATCTCACACTTGCTACACCTTAATCTTCTTGCTCTCCAACTGTAGCTCACCTCCTTTCTGTGAGCAGACCAGCTATTGTCTTTTTTCCCCCTTCCTTTGTCTTCTATATCTTTTTTTTTTATCTCAGGTCTATCCATGTCAGGTCTGTGCTAGTGATAATAGCTTTGCACTAATATGATGATGGTGATGATCTGCCACACCTGGAAGGCTGTTGAGCTCTCTTGGAGATGGAGATTACAGATAATGAGCCGTGAGCACTGACCGGTCACTTGCAGCATGGGGTGAACTTGCTTGGTTCAGGGCTCAGGGGAGCGTAAGCAGGGAGCTGATGTGATGGCGTCAGCATACTGACTTAATACGCATTGCTTTTGTGATGAGGGGCGCCTGTTTTCAGCAGACGGGATGACTTCTAACTGGAGCGACAAGCTCTTTTAAAAAATGTGCTCTTTTAAAAAAGAAGGTTTTAATTTGATTTCATGTGTGGTCACTTATGGGCCACAACTGAACGGTTCCCGAATAAACCAAGCTGTTGTAATGAACGTTTGTTGTTTTCGTAGCTTTATGTAAGTCTTAATCTGTTTAAGTCAAAGACATACCTCCTTTTTTAGTGTGGCTTCCTGGTGAGCAATGTAGGAAAATTGTTTTTTTCCTGAGGTTGGATACGTTAGGACACCCGAAAAAGCACCAGAAGTGCCACAAGACTAGTTTATTTAATTTTATTCAATGTTTATTCAACAGTGTAGTATGTGGACACTGTTAAAGTTTCAAACCAGCCCATATATTGAAACTAATCTGCTGTTTTGAACTTGTTTTTGTGACAATACACAAAAAAAGCCAATATAGTGACATATATCCATCTATATAGCCTAGAGCAGTTTGGCTTCACCCACTCAGGCTGAAGTTATAAGTTATGTTTCCACCTGGACATTTTGAATGAGGCACAATACAGTAAGAACATACATTTACATATATCAGTCTTACATCATCAAAAGCAGCCTGTTTAATTCTAAGGTATAAAGAGAGGTTGAAAAATAGTCATGTAAAAATTAATGATGGCTGTTTTTGGTTCATAAAAAACACAATGGAGATATAAAATGCAGGAAATATGTAGGATGTAGGCCTTTAGGAGTGACAATGTCAATGGTAGGCTCATATTGTGGTGTAATTTATCATGATAACGTTAAAAATATCACATTACCACCCTTAAAGCTTCCTAAAACACACAGCAGTTGGTGGGTATTTGCATGGAGCAGCTCTCGAGTTAAAGTTCACTTCCCTTTTATTTACAGCTGAAGTGCCAGGCAGTGTTTACAGCAGCTAACTCTCTTTGCACACCTCTAGAGAAGGCCGTGCTCGTCTGTGTTGACGTAGAGAAGACGTCTCGTTGCCTTATGACCTCTCAGAGCTGGTGTTAAGCTGAGGAGGAAGCACTGGCAGCTTTATGGTGATAGAAGAAGTGATTAGAAGTTTGGGGCTGTGAGATTAACTGTGATGTTACAGGAAGCTGTATGACCTTCATCTTAGTGTGGAGGTTCTCTGTGAATGTTTTAAGCTGAACTCTTTTGAAATTTTTTGGAGAATTCAGAGGGTAATTTGATGTGCAATGGCTCATTGTAGAGAAACTTACCAACTCAGATTTCTTCACAGTCTTGGTGGAACCAGGATCGCAGTGTTTACACAAATATGATTATGATTATGATTTACACAATCATGATTATTTACCAGTATTTCATGCTATTAGCTTTTAAAGGCATTGCATGCTTTAGACGACTAGTTCCTTTCCCTACCACTGTGAACAATTCTGACTTCACTCTGAATAACTTTATTTACATCCTAATCATTTAAAAGGCATTTTCTACATTTTTCTTGTACTTTATATATTTTTATTTTACTCTGAGATCTTCTTATGATCTTTGTTGGGGTTTCTGTATCAAGAACAGTCATAATTCATTTTACATGACCATTTTCAACCTCTTATGCCTTAGAACTAAAAACAGGCTGTTTTTGTTACTGTGCCTTTAAGACTGATTTATGTAAATGATCTCTGTTCTGATTGGCTGTATTGTACCATGCCTCATTCAAAAAGCAGTCCAGGCTGAAACACTCTGTGTAACTTAAATGCGAATGAGTGGAGCTAAACTAAACAAAAAGGTGGATTTATGCAAATGCTTTGGTTTTTGTGACATCACAAAAACTTTGAACTGTAGCTTTTCTCTGTTTCTCTATGTGTGGACTCGGGAGTGAATGACACATTTTGAAACTTTAACAATGACTACATGCAAATTCTTTTTTTTTTTAAAAAAGTTTGGAAAATCTGATTTTCTGTGATGTCGCTCCCTTAATAATTATGAAGAAAATTTGAAAAATCAGTGGGATTCCCCTTTTAAAGGCGGTGCTGTTTTACTCAGCGATGCCTGAATTCACCAGGGAGAGCTCAGACAGCTGTCTACCGGATCTGGGTCAAGCACAGAGCTCCTACCGAGAGTGAGAAAATATCAGCACCTATAGATTTGTAGTCCGTTTTGGCCGACGGTGAAACAACACCACATTAAGACGTACGTGATAATAATTTGCCTGTAGTTTACAGCTTGAACCTCCAGTGACCCAAGCACTGTTATTTACCCAGCACATGATTAGTATAGCTAGCATGCATTGTGGTCTTCTAACCACTAACTTCTTCAGCTCGGCCTTCTTGGGAGGAGACCATTAACACTGCTACTGTGCCATTGAGAATGGATGTAGTAGTGGTGACTGACCAAAACAAAAGGCACAAGGGTGCCATTGTGAGGGATCAGCAGCAGATTACTGGAATTCCTTTTTTTCCACTGGCTGAATAGGCTTTTAGTACACCCCCCCATCTGGATGCACCGAAAAAAGCTTGCATTGGCAACTTTAATATTTTAATGCTATTGTTGTCCTCAAGCAATTTGGGCCTGTTTAGTAGCAGTTATTACCATTGAGACACAACAGACCAGGGTTTTCGTGTGTCAAGGTGAGGTTTCCACAGTATTGCAGGAACGTTTGTCGTTATGTAAGCTTTATGTAGCCGTTCATGAAATTATACAAATGCATGGCACTTTTTTCACTGGCAGAGCAGGAGGGAGGGAGAGTGCAGACAGAGAGTGAGTCACCATGTTAGTGATAGGGCTTCTGTGTCAGTTCGAGAGTCATTTGAATAAGTTGGGTTGTGATAAAGGGTTCGCTGTATGTCACCCAGTCTGAGGACACAAAGCCAACTGTAATATCGCCTCATCTACTAGCTATAGACAAATAAATCCAGAACGGCTTTCTATGGATAAAACTACTCCTCTGTCCTTGGGCACATAAAAAAAAAAAAAAAAAAACAAAAAAAAAACAAACTGAGGGAATTCCCTTGTGTTATAGTACATCTGTCTCTGACAGCGATGGCACTGGCTAGGGGTGAGCAACAATATATCACCATTCATGCGGCCGTATGCAAAACTTGGAACGCCCCCAGTCATGTGACGTGCTTTGTTGATTTTCTGAGTGTCGTGATAAAAATGTCACATGGCATTTTTCTGCAAAAGGTAGTAAATAATTTTATAGTCATTTTTCCTGTTAAAAAAGTGCCATAACTTTTGCACAGGGCACATTTTATATTTTTCCCCCCAGTATGTTAAATTCAACAGCAATTGTGCACTAAAATGTGCAGAAGTGTGTTCTCCGAGGATGTGTTAACTTATTTTCACTTAGAAAAATCAACAAAAGCCAACTTGACCGGGGTGCCAACACTTTTGCATGCAACTATATCAAGATATTTTGCTATTGTGAGGTTGTGTCAGCGCAAAACAGTAGCACCTCATTTAAAATTGCTATCACTATTTTTCAAATCAACCTTTCATGTTATTGTGAACGACATCCAGTTTAACAGGACCAATTATTAGGTATGAGCGATGATATCAGAATCATATCAGTAACAACAGTATTATTGACATTGGACAGATTTTTAGATTTGATCGATATATCGTGAGTATTTGATGACATATTTTCTGTTCTCCAGAAGTGCGGAATGTTTAACCGATGCTGAGTTTCTACACTGAAATATATGCATTTTATTTATCTTACTGCATTTATAGCCCTTGACAATTAAATGTTACATTTCTCAATAATGCTGACTCAGCTAACTGTAGTCCCCCTTTCTATGCAGTGGACGTTCGCAAAGTGCATGTACTTTTTTACTGCATTTAAAAAGTTTTTCATTGTTTACTTATAAAAAGCATTTACTTTTTTCAGATTTTTAGTACCACTCTGCTACATTTCAAACTTTTATTCCACTACTTTCTGCAGCATGTGACGTTACTCAGAAAATTTTTCATGATATCCAAAAGAATGGGGTGCATTTTCGAACTGAAGCAAACCAACCAAAGTGCACCTTTAACTAAACCCCTCCCCTAAAACCTGTCTAATCATAGCTTAGCAACTGTAACCAGGGATAAGCACCTCAGACAAGCTTTCAGAGTTTAACAGAATGTTGTAACATTGTATGGGAAACCTTTAAATCGGCTACCTGATTTAATTTGAAGAGCGCACAAGAGGAGGAATATATAATATATATGTGTCGGAAGAAAACCTTGTACCTCCAAAATGGTAACTTTACAGGAGAAGGAAAAACCTACTTTACTTTTAATGTAAGTCAATGGAGCCAGACTTTTTACTAAGTCATTTTTGGCCGTTTCTTTTGGTCCATTCATCATGAAATTTACACACAGTGAAAAACTGAAAAACGGCAAAAAAAAATGGAGATACGAGGTTTTGTCCCGACATATATGTATGTATATATATATAATCCATTAATACACTTAAAAGCAAATATTTCAAATGTTTTTGTACTTTGTGTAAATATATAAATAGATGACTGTACCTTTACTTGAATAATATGGGAGAGTATCTCTACATTCACTCAAGTACAGGATTGCGCACTTTGTCCACTTCTGCAGTTTCTACATTTGCTAAA